TATACAACAAAACTCTGTCTCAAACAAACAAAAGGGATTTTTTTAAATTTGTGTTCCTGAATGTAGGTATGTACATCATGTTAGTGCTGTCCCCGTGGATTCCAGAAGTCAGCACTGGGTTCCAAGGAACTGGAATTACAGATGGTTATGAGCTGCCCTATAGTGCTAGAAACTGAACCCTGATCCTCTGTAAGAGCAGCAAGTGTTCCTAACCACCAAGACATCTCTCGAGTCCCCCAATCCATGTTTTTAACTACCACATGAAGAAAATGCATACCTATCAGCACTGAATCTCTCTGGGAAGTAAAATAACAATGATGAAATAATAGACAACTCTTTAGCCTTTGTAATGTGAGAAAGTACACAATTCATCCTGGTACAATATCTGTTTTATAGAAACACATTCCATACTAGGACCATCCAAAGGGCTTGGGTTTCATCCATCCACAGAATTGACAGGCAAACCTCTCCTAATGTGAGTTTAGCATCCAGCAGTATTAGGCAGGGGAATCTGATACTCACCATCGCATTTGATGGATTATACAATATGCTAAATGGTGGTGAGTACCACAGGAAAAAATGAAGAATGATGGGAGCGTGGGAGCACAAAACAGAGGCATACAGTGGCAACAGCAGATGGAGAAGGCGGCACTGAATCAGAGATCTAGAAGAGGCAGGCTAGGGAAGGCGCATACTAATGCGTTGGTGCAGAGTTAGCTGGGCAGGGAGATAAGTGGGTGCAAAGGTCTTGGGTGGAACATCCCTGGCTTGTTCAACAAAGAGAAAAAGGTCCATGTTGGTGACTCTTACTCTTCTTGATGAGGAAAGGAGGGGCTAATGTTTTACGGGAGCCTTGCTTTGTAGGGTCTTATAATCATAGTGAGGATTTATCTTGTGTTCACAGTGCTATGGGGACCAGAAAAATAATAAGGGTTGACTTGTGTAGTAAAAGGACTACTCTGACACTGCTTGGAGTCAATAGCTTCAGGTTCAGGTTTCTTAGTCTCAATTTTTGCTTTATTACATATCAGTAAATGGAATGAATCCTTCCGTGTCTGATTCTACACTCATAAAACAGATAAAGTAGTAGCCACACAAGAATGAGAATATGAAACGTCAGGCAAACCATTAGCCTAACTCCAGGGAACCCTGGACTGTTTGTGCTCACATGCTCAGAAAGTGAATGCACTATCTTACTACTTTATGTCTATCCCTTCAAAGACACTGCCATTCTCACGAAGGTGGTAATGAGTCACCTGGGAAACTTTGCCCCGTTTCCAAATCTGACACGATGTAGGACGTATGAAGACCATGAATAATTGAGATGTTTGCTGAGAAGGGGAGAAACCCACTGACTACTGTGGATAACGAAAAAACCAACAGTGACACAACTTCCAGTCATCGTGACAAGGTGTACCAGTTAGTATTTCTGTTTAACAAATGAGCCCCAAACCTAAAGCAAGAAACGTGTGACTCTGGAATCAGACGGCTCCTTCACCAGGTTCTCACAAGGTATCAGCTGGGGCTGCAGGCACTGGAAACTGTGGTGAAGGATCTGCCTCTGAGCTTGGTCCTCACAGAGTGATGGCTTGAGACCTCTGTTCTGCACTGTGTGGTGCTCTAACCTGCAACACTTGGGGACTGACCTGACTAGGCAACAGGGAATGGAGAAGCAAAAGACATGTATACAGAAAAGTTGGCAAAGAGTGGGCCATGGACTCTGATGGAGATGAGCCAGCAGGTGGGAAATTTAGAACATTTATTATATACAGCTGAACAAGGAGGCAGGTTTACAGTACACAGCCGAAGGAGGAGGGTTAGTTAGCTAGTCTTGGCATGGGTCTCTGTAGAGGAGCAATCCCAGGCTGCAGTCTTCCGAGACAAGGAAGCTATGCTTGATACTTCCTGAACATAGTGGTTTTTAGCTAAAAGTCAACTGTCCACCAACATCCAGGCCAGGGAAAGGACTTGCCATTGCCATGAGTCTGAGGCTTTGGGTCCTTGACATGGCTGTGTTTATGTCAACAATACACCTTCACTCAGGACATCACCTCTCCACAGTGTGAGGTCACTTGAGTGTCTTTGTCATGTGGCAGCTGACTTCCCCCAGGTGAATAATCCAGGAACAAACTAGGAGGAAGCTGCTGTGCCTCTTATGCCCTGGATTCAGAAGTGACACACTGTCATTTCCCACCACAGACCATATTTACTGAAGTCTCCGGGTTTAGCCTACTCTCAAGAGAAAGCAAATGAAGCATCATCTCTTGTAGGATTATTTTCTTTGTTAATTTTATTTGGCATACAAAATAATAGATTTCCATATGACATGTTCATGCATGTATGCTGTTCTGCTTTTTTCATGCCCACTTTCTTAAGTTGCCCCTCCCCCTGTGAGAAGCGCTCTCTGAAATTTCCAAGAATCCGTGGATATATTTTCTTTTGTTGCCTTGAATTATATGGAAAAGAGGATTATTTAACTCAATGACAAAGCCTAGAAAGTCAAGCTCAGCACGTGCATCTGGTGAAGCCCCACCCCCCCCCCCCCCCCCCCCCCCCCCCCCCCCCCGTGCTGGTGAAGATTCTTCAGGAACCCAAGAAGGTAGGTTAGGGCACTGCCAGGGAGAGAGGTCTACACACGAGATAGGGCCAAACTGGCTTGTATACCAGATCCACACCCTAGATAATCCAGCACCTTATGAACCTGTAATTCTTAACTAGATTAACTCATTCCTCTGCCTTCAGGACTCAATAACTTCTCAAAGGTCCCAACTATTCCCACTTCTTAATACTCACGATGAGGATTAAATTTCATCAGGAGTTTGCTCTCCATGTGCGTTCATTTGTTATGTGAAGTGATGGGTTTCGTCACGGCATTTCCACAATGCGTATAATGTGCTTGGATTGTAATCCTCCTTTCCATAACCCTTTATGGTCTCTTCTCCCTCTTCTCTGCTTCCATATCTCTAATAACCCCTCTTTTCCCTTCGTGTTCTTTCCATCTAGCTAGATTTCACAAGTGAGCAAAATCATGCATAATTTGTCTTTATAAGATTGGCTTATTCCATTCATTTTTTTTCCTGAAGTAACACAATCTTATTATTGTTTATGGCATAATAAGACTCCATAGTATGTGTACACATTTTCTTCACCCATTCATTCACTGATGAGTACCTAGGCTGATTCTATAGCTTGGACATTGTGAATGGTGTAGAAATCAACACCAGCATGTGTTTCAGTGGATATGCTGAACCATAGGCATACGCCGGGACCTAATCCATAGTAATTAACAACTCAAACCAGGCGATGTGTCCTAGAGAGAGCTAATTGTTAGTGGAGTCTGTTTCATGTTGTGCCAGAAGGAGATCCAAACCTCGTACTGACATCACTTTCTTTTTACATCAGCACATTTCACCGCAGCAACACGGGCAGAGACATCCCCCACTTGCACACCCAGCAAGCTTGCCACATCCCTGCAGGCCAGAAACATAGGCATCATTCTGTCTCAGGCAGAAAGTAGAGACAGCTGCGTTAGGGCCTCATGACACTGTTCACTGGACACTTGGGCACAGTTCACCGAAGCAAGGAGTCAGGGAAGGTGGCCTTAGCAGATGGTATTCTGGCTTTTTAAACTTTTTAACTGTGTATATTTTTGAGAATTTCATACATGAGTACTGTATTTACATCATGTCTGCTCCTCCTGCTCCTCCTTGTGACTGCTCCTATATACCTTCTATTCTCTCTCAAATTGAAGACTGCTTCTTCTATAATTATTATTGCTACACACACACACACACACACACACACATACACACACATGTATATATATCTAGTGTTACTTGTGTGTACATGCATTTAGAGCTGAGCATTTGGGACTGAATAACCTATTAGGGAGCTCATCCCTAGAAAAGCTAAATTCTCCATCTTTCAGCAGGCATGACTGCCTATAGTTCTTCATCTAGGAAAGAGGGCCTTGTGAATTTCCTCATCCACAATGACATGTCAGCTGGTATAGTCATTAAGCAGGTCTTGTTTAGGCAACCACATCATAGAGATTTCTCGGGTGCAGTATCCCTGTCATGTCTAGAAGACACTATCTGGCAACAGATGTCCTGGCTCTCTAGCTTTTTTAGGTGAAACAATGTTGTATTCTCTGACAGATAAGAACAATCTTGCTTAAAGCTCTGCTTTGCCTATGGGCTGCTTCTTCCTGGAATTGTTTTGTTTTTATATATTAGAGTGTAGTTCCTACTTAGTCAACTAGTAGTTCATCCGACAATTTTGCATAAGACCGCTTCTACATTAAATTTACTTTCCTGAGAGATGTTTGGCACAATAACAACCGATATTTCTCAGTAGTACTCAAAACGTCCAACTTTTTTGTTATGCAGTCATCTTTAGCTCTAATTCTGTCACAATTTGTGGAGGTATTAAAAACATATTCATTATTTTATAACTACATATTGTTTTACTAACCAAGTATTTAAGACAGACAAAGCATAGGATCATAGAGGTTTATCATAACATAGTATTGAATAGCAAAATCAAGTAAGCAAACAAACCCAGTTGTAGGAGGGACCAATGATAAGTAGATGAATGTACATGAATGATGCTACAACTATACATAAAATACTATCTAGCTATTCAGACTTATGATGTCATGTTTGGTATAGAAAGATATTCTGCTATGTTCCTACATAAAAATGGAGGTTGAAAAAAAGTACAGTTTCTATGGCATTGTCATATGGAAAGCTGCCTGTGGTTAAATGTGTACAAAAGAAAAGGTGTTGACATTTGTTTTTTGTTAATGTATTCAAAGACGAGTGAGCATGCATATTTTTTCTTTTTTTTTTTCTTTTTGCATGTCTGGATTTTCTGGTTTTTCTACAACTGTTGCCTAAACATTCCTAAACAGATCTCCGCCTCCACCAGTTCTATAGGTCTGGCAAAGGCAGGAAGGAGGGACTGGAGGAAGGGAGAGAGAGAGAGACAGAAGAAAGAAGGTTGCTCTGGCTTCCCGGATCTGCTACCTGAAGCAGCCGAGTGTTCCTGGAGAGCTGGGAAGACCAGAGGAAGTCCTTCAGAATCCTAGGAAGAAGACTGTCTATAGAAGCTTCCTTCATTGAGGGAGAAGGTGCAGCAGGAGGTGCTTTGGGGAGTTTGGGATGGTGTGAAATCATTCTGGGAAACCCTGCTCCTCCCTAGTGAGTTTCAGGGCTCCTCCCCGATCATTAGTGTGCTTCATGTACTTAAAGGACCAAGGCATCTTGGAAGAGCAGGTAACCACAGGTTCCTGCCTGGAGGAAGGAGAGATCTGAGGGTCACTTCGTGGGGTCTGTCCTGACTTCCAGATCCAGAATTTCCTGCTACAGACAGGCTCTTCACATGTTGACCGTCTTTGGAGCCTGCTTTTTCTCAGGCCTCTAATTCCCCAGCCTTTTCTTTGCCTAAAATTTCCCACTGTTTATTTTGAAATAGGGTCTACACACTGTGGCGCTCATTATGGTCCTGAGTGGGGCACTGTGCTTCCGGTGAGTATTTGTTCATCTGATTTGGTGGTGTTCTCAAAAAAACGAGTTCCGGGTAGGCAAGAAGGGTCCTTCTCCCAGCTGGGCTGTCACAGGTAGCTGGGAAGACAGGACCAATACTGCCCTTGGGGCTCTTCTGACTTCCTTCACACGGGGGAAGGACTGAGCGGGATTCTCACAGGTTCCCAATTCTAAATTTACTGGGTGGGACAAGGAACTAGGAAGTCTAGAGTCATTTTGGGTGAAAAGGAGAGTTGGGTGTCCCTTACAGAGCTCCACTATTGCCTCCCATGGCCATGAATTGCCATCGGGCCAGCCACTGTACTAATTCCTCCATGATCCTCTCTGGGGGTGGGAATAACACAAAAGCTCGTCCATCTGTTGCTCCCTGGTATGCACTGAGTCAGGCACCCTACTATAGATTTTACAGCATCAGATGAGGATGGTCCTTACTCTCACTGGACTCAGTTTAAAACTTGTCAACCCTCCGTATCTGTGGTTTCTTCAATTACAGATTCAACAAACTGAATTGAAAATATTAGGAAAAATTTGCATATGTGGTGAACATATGCAGGCTTCCTAGTTATTACTTCCTTAAATAACAGCTTACCTATTTATGTGCTGTTTGCCTGGTGTTAGATATTACAATAATGTAGAGATGTAAATGTAATGTAAAGTATTCAGGAGGATGAACACCAGTTAGATGTGAATACTACAGCCATTTTATATAACAACCTTAGCATCTGTGGGTTTGGCTAGCTGTAGGGGTCCCAGAACCAATCCCTGTGCTACCAAGGGGTTGGAGGATTTCTCCAAGTGTGTTCTCTGAGAAGCTTAGTCCCATGAGATAGTTCATGCAACAGTGTTCTCTGACTGACTAAGGTGTAGAATGCTGTTTCCTCGTCATATTTGGGGCTAGGGAGATGGCTCAGGGGATAAAGTTCATGTTAGGAAATGTGACTTCCAGAGTTCATATCCCCAGACTCTGCATAAAAGCCTAGTGGGTGTCTGAAGCCAGCCTCTAATCTCAGTACCTGGGATGGAGAGACAGGAGAACCCTGGGGCAAGATGGCTAGACTAGTCAACTTGGCAAGCTCCAGGTTCAGCAAGAGACCCTGCCTCAGGAAATAAAGTGATGCAAGATTAAGAAAGACACTCAAGGTGGAGTCGTGGCCCCCATGTACATGCTCAAACTTGTGGGCATGCACACCACATACACACACACACACACACACACACACACACACACACACCACACCACACCACACCAGATACACATACACGTGCAAAAAATAAATGTTTGGCCAGACATTAAAACAATTTTTACACTGCAAAGTTTTCCCCATATGACATCAGCAGAGGTCTACTTAAGTCTACTGAAGGTCTACTTAAACATATTTCACCCTACAGAGTGTCAAAAAAGCAGCTGAAAAGTAACTTTGAAAAATAAAATAGAGCTTTAAAGAAAGTCCTCAGGATGGAATATATGGTCCAGTGGAAGCAAATGTGATTTGAAATGCTCAGTAAGAATGGAGGGAGCCGAGAAGAAGAGTCAGGCAGAACTATGAGTCTGAGGCCAATCTGGTCTACATAGTGAGTTCCAGGCCATTCAGGGCTACACAGTGCGATCCTGTCTCAAACAACAAAACAAAACCAAAAAACCAAGCATCAGATTTTAATTCGGAAGAGTTCTAGGTGTTATTTAACCCACTGTCATGGTTTAGCAATGAAGAGAGTCATACCCAGAGAGGGCAAGTATTTAGTTTGCTGTAGCTCATTCCCAAGCCTTCCTGTGCAGAGTTAGCTCAGGTAAAACCCTCTTCTGCTCACAGGGATCCCACAGGGCTAAAAATGTCTAAACAACTTGAGGCTCATCAATACAGGTTTAATAAAAAGAAATCCGTGTGTCAAAGACATCAGAGAAGGTTAGAGAAGTGGTCTCCTGGCTTTGAAGAGCCCAGGGCTCCAAATCATAGACTCTTCCAACCTAGCAGAGAGGCGATTTTCTGGGATATGAAAGGTTTAATATGGGGAGAGAGCAGACCTCAGATACAGATAGGTGGCAGAGGGGTGATCTTGCAGAGCTAGGACTGAACGCTGGTGGTTGTGTCTGGCACAGTGGAAACAGAAGAAGAGAAGACACCTGAGTTTGGGGAGACCTTGTGGAGCCAGGGCAAGGGAGAGTGCTCATCCCTGCTCTTATGGAGTCTTGTCCCTTCCTGGTGTTTCAGAATGAAGGATTCAGCCTTGAAGGTACTTTACCTGCACGATAACCAGCTGCTGGCAGGAGGGCTGCATGCGGGGAAGGTCATTAAAGGTTGGTATCTATGAGTCCCAGGCCTCTGGACTCTCTGAGGAATGTGTTTAGAAGCCTTGAATGGCTCTGTAAACCAACGGTAGGCTTGCAGACCCAATAATTGCCATGTCAGATAGGGCAGCATAAAACAGGCTTCAAGGAAAGTGGGAACCCCGGGGAAGCCTCTGTGTAGAAGTGGGATATTGTCCAGGACAAACGACTTATGTTTCCATCACAGACCATTTTAGGTATTCTATCACCTTTGGAGACTGTACTGTGCAAAGGGCTGAAATAGTTCTTCATTCCCGAGTGAGTGGGCTCTGCTCCTCCATCCTTCCCTCTAGCAATCCTCAGTTACCTTCAATGCTGAGATCCGGATGGGGTTGAGGGGGAGCTCTGGCCTCTTGCTTACTCACTGTGCCCTCATACTTTGACAGGCCTTTCCACATTGGTGCATACATGTTTACTTGGGCACCCTCATGAGGTACTAGATCCATTTGCTGCGTTGTGTGTACACATGTGCATGTGGGAACATCACACAAGGGTACAGCTATATGTGAATGCACAAGTTCATGTACATAAGTGTGGTTATGTGCTTAAGTATGTATATGCATAGCATTTGCATATAAGCATTGTATGTGTGCCTATCGATATGTACATGTTTTGATTATGTGTAATATGTGTGGGAGTGCACACTTATGTGATTATAGCTATGTACATATGCATGTATTGATGTAATATGTGTGTGATTGTCTGTGCATGTATATGATGATGAGTGATGTACAGAGTGAAATCCTCTTCTGCAGAAATCCCACAGGGGATAAAGACACTACATAACTCTAACAGGATAAGACAAGGTCCAGAAAAGAGGCCTGGGAGTCAAGGGAGTTAAAGGGGGTGGTGGAAGGGGTAATCTCTTGGAATTTAGAGAATCTATCAAAGTTTAGCCCTGAGCAAGAAGGATGGGGTAGGAGGTCATACCTGGAGTTCCTGTGCTTTGGTTTACAACCTGGGCCAGGTGGCAGGAGATTAGCCTTATCCCTGTGTTGGAAGACAGGATGCCTCACACTGGTTCTAAGCCCTTTAAGGCCCTACTCCTGGGGGAGAGTGGGCAGAAGGACGAGCAAGTTCCCAAATCTTGCCTTTTTCCTCTAGGTGAGGAGATCAGTGTCGTCCCAAATCGGTCACTGGATGCCAGTCTGTCCCCTGTCATCCTGGGTGTTCAGGGAGGAAGCCAGTGCCTGTCCTGTGGGACAGAGAAAGAGCCAATTCTGAAACTTGAGGTGAGTCTTACTGCCGTGTCTTCACCTTCTGGGCCTGAGACAGAAGAGGCGAGCACACTCTGCCACACTACAGCCTAGGTACCTTCGGATGCTGGCGAGGGCATGCTGACGCAGCGCTGCCCCCTCTCTGGGGACCTTTCCCTTGCCCAGCTTAGCCCTCTCTCTTTCGCACTCCTGTGTCTCATCCCTCATGCCCCTTTTCTACAGCCAGTGAACATTATGGAGCTTTACCTCGGGACTAAGGAATCCAAGAGCTTCACCTTCTACCGGCGGGATATGGGCCTCACCTCCAGCTTCGAGTCAGCTGCCTACCCTGGCTGGTTCCTCTGCACTGCTCCCGAAGCTGACCAGCCTGTCAGGCTCACCCAGATCCCTGAGGATGCCGCCTGGGACGCTCCCATCACAGACTTCTACTTTCAGCAGTGTGACTAGGACTGCACGGTCCCCCAAACTCCCTAGGCAGAGGCAGAGTAGGCAATGCTGGGGGGGGGGGCAGGTAGTGATAGAGGAGCTCCCTGGTGGGTGACGTACTCCTCTCCCTCCCCTCCTCCTCCTCGGGACTCCCATTCTGACTTAGGAGGCACACAGCCATTCTCTTCTCCCGGTTCCCAACAAATTCTTCGGGTATCCGGAGCTCAGTGTGTGGGCTCCTTCTGCACTGGGTGGTACTACCTCTGGTGTGGAACCTATACAAACCACATAGGACAAACAAAGAATAGCATAAAAAGATTCTCGGGTGAGAGAGCGGTGGGGTGGTTCATGCATTGTGAAATCCGACACAGTGCCTCAGAAGCTCTGCCATCCCCTACTGGGCAGGAGAAGGAGGTATCACGGAGATCTTTGGCTGGCTGGGCCCCTTCCCTCAATCCTGCAGCTCACATCCACTGCCTCTTTTAACCCTGCCTTCATTCTCTGGCCCTGGACTGAGAGGGCGATGTCAGGATAGAGGACAGAAGGTGGCCAGGCACACTGTCCTGGTTTGAAACCAGAGGTACAATAAAAATCCCTGATTCTGATCTCTACTCACACAGAAAGATTCTCGTGAACATTGGGTGGGAAGAGCTTGCTACAAAGTAATGTATCTTGTATTTTCACCTTAATTAAAATATACTTATCTGTATTATATGTTTTAAAAGGGGTCTGGAAGTGTTTACATCAATTGTAGCAATGTCCAGGTGGGGGCAGTATAGGTGACGTTTCTTTTTATTTGTGTTTATTAACTTTTCCATTATGGAGATGCATTACTTACATAATACTAAGAAAAGGAACCAATATGGTGGGAACTGGAGCAGACATAACTTCTCATTGTCCTCACCCTCTCCTGCCCTGAAGTGAAATCCAAATAGAGCTCAGCTGCTCTGAGTGGCAGGAGCAGAACATAAGAGGCAAATCCCAGAAAAGTTAGGAAGAATGTAAAGCATTTGTGCTGGAAAATAAAAGAGGGAAGGAGTGGAGGGAGAGAGGGAGGGAGAAAGGAAGAAGGAACAGAAGAGAAGGGAAAAAGCTACCCTGTACTTTGACCTGGGATGATCGAAACCCCTGGGATTCTGAGTGACAGCCAGCTTCTGAGGAGGCCACTGTGCTGGTTAGAAAGTTCCCTCCTCAAATTCATGTCCTTCCCCAATCTATGAGGATCTTCCCTGGGAAGGGGCTTTACAGTTAAAGTGCTGGACTCAATCTCACTTGACTGGTGTCCTTCAAAAATGAGGACTTGACACAGAAGAGGCACGGGGGACAGACCCGTGTGACACAGAGGCAAAGGTTGACATGATGTTGCTGCCACCAGCAGGAGAGGGCCACGGACTGTGTGGACCACCAGAAGCAAGGAAGAGAGGAGTAAGGGTTCCTCCCCTGAGCCTCAGAGGGACTGCCACCTTGCTGATGTCTTGATTTCAGGCTTCTAGTCCCCTGTCACACTGTCCGCTTCTAGTCTGCACTATTTCTGCTGTTTTAAGTGACCAAGTGTGTGGAAATGGTCTCCAGCAGCTGGAGGGAGTGGATGGAGCTGCTAGCGATCCCTGCTTCCTCATGCTCATTCCCTCTAACCCTCTGCCAGAGTCATGGCTGGACTCTGGAGTACAGCAGAGGTGGTAGCGGGTTACTGCAGAGAGTGGATTGGATTATAAAAGACACCTTAGTGAGTTCTTTGGGGGCCTGCTCTTTCTCTGTACCCTGGGGGAAGCCAGATTCTATGCTGTAAGCTGCCCTAAAGAGAGGCCGTATGGGACATGGACAACAGCTCCCGCGGACAACAGCTGCATGTGTGAGCCCAGAAGCAGAGCCTGACCGACAGCCTTGCAACCCAGCTGCTGGCTTGAGTACAGTCTCATGAGAGACTGGAACAGAACTGCCCAACCAAGCTCCTCCAGATTCCTGCCTCATAAAAACACTGTAAAACGCCGGGCGGTGGTGGCGCACGCCTATAATCCCAGCACTCGGGAGGCAGAGCCAGGCGGATCTCTGTGAGTTCGAGGCCAGCCTGGGCTACCAAGTGAGTTCCAGGAAAGGCGCAAAGCTACACAGAGAAACCCTGTCTCGAAAAACCAAAAAAAAAAAAACACTGTAAAACAATCAATCTAGATTCTGGAGTGAGTTGATAAGCTGCAGTAAGTAATATTCAATGAAAAAGAATCATGTGCATTTACTTTATTATGATTAAACCTTTTTTCTCCAGTATTTTCATTTTCCTTCTCAAAATGAACACCAGACCTTTATTAACCCAAATAGCCTATTTAAAAGCTGAGCATGCTTCACTTGTTAATTGTTACCTGTTGCCATAAGGTTTCATTCATCTTTGACCATCTCTGCACCTCCCACCTCTAATATTCCTGTCTAAAACATTGGGGACTAAGAGTGAAAGCAAAAGAAGGGGTCCATATCTGAGCCCCAAGTATTCAGCTATAGCTCACTTGTCAAGCCAGCTTGGCAGGTTTAGAGTTGGCAGGCTAGTAGAAGGAACAGCAAAGAGGTGGCCAGGACAGAAGAGACAGCCTCCATTGTCCTAGAATCTTCAGTCCAGATGCATTTAGATTTCCTGAGCAACAGGCAGCACCATTTCTACCACAGGCCCTTGGGGATACTGAGGACACCGGCCTCGGATGCCAGGCTGTCTTTCTGCATCCCCCATTCACAATGTCTGTCTGTGAGTCAGAGAATCTCATGGTGCATTTTCTATGTGAGGACATTACACCCATCCCATCTGCCCATAGAAATCACTCACTTTTCAATACCCTGCTAAGATATCACCTCCTGTAAGAAGTATTTGAAGAGATGAGCTCCCTGATCATTTGCTATGACGACACTCAGTGCTTATCACAGCATAAAAAGTTGGCTTGGGGTCTGTGGAACCCAGATGACCTTAAGGTTGGAGCTGGATCAATATGTTTTTGAGCACCTAGAATAATACTTGGCAAACTTTTGAAACATGGTGTGTACAGAATGTAGAAACTCACAATTCGGGAAATCCTCTCCCTTTCCTCCACCCATCTAAACCCTTATGAAAGAGTAGCTCAAATCCCACCTATTCTCAAAGGTCAGAGTGGTTGATTCATCCTTTGTAGGGTGGCAGAATTCAAAAAGACTTTGGCCTAGATGAGCTGACACTTCCTTCTGAAGCCGGAGGGGAAGAAGGAATAGAAACACGTTTGTTTTGTCATTGCTACAACGGTAACAGAAAAGAGAGGCATGTACGGCCTGAGAGAGTCTGGCGTCATGGCTGTTCAGATGAAAACAACCTAGTGTTTTAAGATTTCTGTAATTTTGGTAGAAGCCTTATCTTCTTGTAGGAAGGAATGGGGGTGGGTGGGAGGAGGGAAGAGGGGGGAATCTGTGACTGGTATGTAAAATGAACAAAAAAATTTCTTAATAAAAAGAAAACTGAACAAGGCAACCCAGTATGACCAAGCTGTACAACTGTAACACAGATGCAGAGGACCTAGGTGAGTCCCATGCAGGCTCCCTGGTTGTCAATTCAGTCTCTGTGATCCCAGGCTAGTTGATTCTGTGGGTTTTCTTGTGATGTCCTTGACCCCTCTGGTTCCTAAAATCATTCTTCCCTCTCTTCAGAAGGAGTCCCCCAAACTCTGCCTAATGATTGGCTGTGGGTCTGCATCTGTTCCCACCAGGTGCTTGATGAAGCCTCTCTGATGACAATTGGGGTAGTCACCAATCTATGAGTATAGCAGAATATTGTTAGGCATCACTACATTGGCATTATAGTTTTCCTCCAGTCATGTTTGGTTCTATCCTAGGTCTCTGGGTCATCCAGCCTGTGGGCTCTGGTATTCCAGGCAGTGTCAGGGATAAGCTTACTCTCTGGCATGGGTTTTAGGCTAGGCCATTCCCTCAGTCTCTAGGTCACCCTCACCCCAGCACATTCCATAGGCAGGACAGACTGTAAGTCGAAGGTCATGTGGCTGGGTTGATTTCCCACTCCCTCCACTTGAAGTCTTGCCTGGTCACAGGAGATGGCCAGTTCAGGCTATGGATCGCTATTGCTAGGAGTCTTAGCTGGAGTCATCCTTGTAGATTCCTGGGAGATTCTCTTGCGCCAGGTTTTGACCTGACCCCAAAATTCCCCCCTTTCCAGTAGTCTCTTTCAGTACTCTCTCCCTCTGCCCCCCAAACCTGATCACTCATGTACCCATCCCCACCTCCCCTCAGTACACCATGAAATCTCTTCTATTTCCCCTTCCCAGGGAGATCTGGGTGTTTTCCCTTGAATCCTCCTTGTTACCTAGTGGATTGTAGCATAGTTTTCCTTTATTTTATAGCTAATATCCACTTATGAATGAGTACATACCATGTTTGTCTTTCTGAATCTGGATTACCTCACTCAGAATGAATTTTTTCTAGTTCCATTTGCCTGAAAATTTCATGATGTCATTGTTTTTAACAGCTGAGTAATGTTCCATTATGTAAATGTACCACATTTTCTTTATCCACTCTTCTGTTGAAGGACATCTAAATTCTTTCCAGGTTCTGGCTATTATGAATAAAGCTTCTATGAACATAGTTGGGTAATTGTCCTTGTGGTATGATAAACAGGATGAGAAAGAAATCAGGAAAACAACACCTTTCACAATAGCCTCAAATAACCAAGCAAGTGAAAGACCTGTATGACATGAACTTCAAGTCTTTGAAGAGAGAAATTGGAAAAGATATCAGAAAATGACAAGATCTCCCATGTTCATGGATTGGTAGGATTCATACAGTAAAAATGGTCATCTTACCAAAAGCAATCTACATATTCAATGCAATCCCCATTAAAATCCAAACACAATTAGTCACAGACCTTGAAAGAAAAATACTCAACCTCATGTGGAAAAACAACAAACAAACAAACAAACAAAAACCATGATAGCTAAAACAATCATGTACAATAAAAGAACTTCCAAATAAAAGATCACCATGCCCGATCTCAAGCTGTGCTACAGAGCTATAGTATTAAAAACCAATTGGTACTGGAATAAAAACAGACAAGCAGACCAATGGAATCTAATCGAAGACCCTGACATAAATCTACACACCTTTTGGACACCTGGCTTTTGACAAAGAAGCTAAAATTATACAATGGAAAAAAGAAATCATCTTCAACAAATGGTGCTGGTCTAACTGGATGTCTGCATGTAGAAGAATGTAAATAGATCCATATTTATCACCCTCCACAAAACTCAAGTCCAAGTGGATAAAAGACCTCAACATAAATCCAGATACACTGAATCTGATAGAAGAGAAAGTGGGAAAAGCCTTGAATGCATTGGCACAGGAGACAATTTCCTGAGCAGGGCACCAATAGAGCAGACACTAAGGTCAACAATTAATAAATGGGACCTCAGTAAACTGAAAAGTTTCTTTAAGGCAAAAGACACTATCAAAGAAATAAAATGGCAGCCTACAGAATGGGGAAAGATCTTCACCAACCCCACATCTGACAGAGGGCAAATTACCAAAATATATAAAGAACTCAAGAAGCTAGACATCAAAAAACCAAATAGTCCAACTCTCTAAACAGAGAATTCTCAATAGAGGAATTTG